TCAAAGAACTTCCACCAACTCACTTAATTCCTTTTCTTTTTATTATTATTACGATACCAAGATGTACAAATCTCTACTAAAGAACTTTCCTTATTCATGTACATCTCTAACTCTCTAAGTTTCACTTCCGTTTCTAATTCTCTTACTTGAAAGAATGAAAATTTATTCATGAGAACTAACAAGCTATTGTACAACTTATCTGCTTATAAATTTTATTTATTTTATTCTTATTCATCTTCTTAAAATCTGTCTTAGAGACGAAAATCCTTTTAAGAAGAAAAAGAAAAGAATTTCAAGTGTCAAACTAGGTGTGGAAGTCCCTACTACATCAAATACCATCAATTTTACATAGGAGTAGCACTTAAGTGACGTCTAAAATCTTAATATTCTGAAATTTATTTAAAATTGACAAATTAAATGAAAATTTGGTTGCAACTGAAGTCTCATTTTATGATGGACATAGTTTATGGACATCCCTAAACGTCTTTAAATCTTAAAATACATAAACCAGCAGTAATAGCAACAACAACAAATCGTTTCATTCCAAAAAGAATTTAATTTCATGCATTCTTGAGTTCGATTGTGATGATTGAAGATGGGAAATTGTACAAATTAGTTATGGAGATTTAATGCGGCAGTGCTTAACAAATTAATGCAGATGAAGTTTCCTCTTTACAGAATCTCATTTCAATTAAATGTGCAGTACAATAGAAGGAGGATGAAAAAAATTGAAACCTTTAATTTAATTAACAATAAAAATAAGCTGTACAAGAGAAAAGCATTAAGCATGTAGATGGATTTAGGGGTTTCGATTAAACAGATTATTGACAATGCTGTTGATTTTACTAAGGGATTAACTGGAATAAGAGAAGCGGATGTATAAACTATAAAAATGTGTCGAAAATTTGGTATCTTAATGTTTTGCTTAACATTTTTAAGATAAACAAACAAGAAATAATCATTTCCTATTCTTTGTGATTTTTTGGGATACTTTAAGATATGAGAATTTTTTTGAGGATATTTTAAGACCTTTTGACAACATTTGTGGATGTTTAAACAAGCCTCATTTGTTGTGAGAGATTCTGTAGCAGAATTGAATTTTTAAAGGCAAATTCTGTGTTTAATTTGAAGATTTCCTGACATTTATCAATGAGAACAGCATATGTTGAATTTAAGGAAGTCTGTTGCATTTAAACAAGCCGAAAAGTCATGATCTAGCTACAGTTCATTAGAAATAAGCTTAATACATTTTTACTGACTTACAATCCAAAACTTGAATTTTCATCTCCAAAATCATCGAAATTTCTAAAAGGATGCAGTTCCTGCTTCTCACAACATAATCATCAACATCACAAACCACAAAAGATCTCAATGGGAAGCAAATCTTCGATCCATTAGAATCTCTAGCTTAATACAGAAAAAAAAGAATAAAATAAAACAAAAATTCTTTCGAACATGTAAACGATCTCATATTCCGGGATATGTGAGGGTGTTTGTTCTTTTGTTTTCATTTCCTTAAAAAAATACGATCGATGCATCCGAAACCTACATACAATGTGTTCTTTCATTCTTCTCCTTTCCTCTACTTTTATTTTTCAAAAAAAAAAAAGAAAACCTTTTGCTGTTCACTTTTTTTTATGCTGCATAATGTCGCTTTTTTAGCTAACAGGATGATGGTGATGGTTCAAGAGCGTGGGAAAGCGGAAACTACTCATTTGAAATATTATTGAGGATGCTTCGAACAGTAAAAATATGAATCCAATAAGTGTGCACTCGAAAAAGTATATTTATGACTTAAATTTATTTTTTTTCCTATGATATGCGACTGCATGTTGGACTTTGATCGATAACTACTCACATAATAATATTTTCCAGGTGTCGTTCAACCCAACATCAATATTTGTGTATGACTTGATAATAGCTGAGGTTGAGAAAATTACAATGCATGAAACAACAACGAAAATATTTATTTATTTTTTTATAAAGCTGAGCTGAAATTGAGGCAACGAATGCAGTTTTTATGAATGAAAATGTAAATTCCGAAAGGTCTTTCAAATGCCTTTTACACTTCCATTATGATGCCGTCAGCTAGATACATATTAGGTCAATGAACAGCAATTTATGATGGACATTGCTATGTCTCTCGACTTACAAAGTTGCTTATATAATCACGAAGAATATGACTTGAATTATGTGCTGTTGCTGTTTTCTTCGATGCTTAATTTAAATAATTTTCATTTGATGTTGAAAAGTTTATTTTTTTTTGTAAGGGAAATGAAATCTGCACTCAGCATATGAACAACATTCACATACGATTATTTGATTTTTACTTCCGGTCCCCATTTCAATGTGTTTTTTTTTATGTGCTACATACAGCAGAAAATGCAAAGTTCTCAGAGTCTACAATATTTTTTTAGAATGCCGGTTTCAGTTTTGTATGTCTGCTCATGCTAAAAAAATTCTTACGAAAATATTTTCTTAAAGGGATAGGCACTGACCATGATTTATCTATATAGCTTGGTTCCATTTAGATTATCGTGGAATTTCTCTGTTGTTGGAATTTTTATTTGTGGATTTTTTTGGAAGGATTTTGGAAACGTTTTTTGGAGAGGAAACGATTTATTTATCAATAATTACTTTATCACACTGAATTCCATTCCTATAAATACAGTCAATTTCCAAAATAGTCAATATAAACATCAAAATTATTTGTTCTTACAACATTCCAAATATTTACGTGTAGCCATAAATAATTACGCATATATTGGCCAACGTCACATCTTTGTACACATCATCTTCACAATTCCAAACGAAAAATCATCTCTTATCATAAGCACACACATAATCGACAATGGTTGATGTTCTTGAAGCAATACATTTGAGATCCAATAAGATGTGATCATCATCATCATCATCATCAATTGAAAATTATTTCGTAAATCGTACATGCCGGATTTCTCGAAGAAGAAAATAGGCGTTTTATTGCTATTTCTCCTCATGTGCGAGAGCATAAGAAATACTTTGTGACTAATGTCCGAAGAAAATGAGCTGATAAGAAGAAGAATACGCGTTTTGCGTATTTGTCTATGTTTACGCAAATTTAATCAACCAAAAAAAAAAAGAAGAAGTAAGAGAACGACTACACGCACACACAAAATTATAATGGATCTCTTAGCTAGATTTTTGGAGGTTAATGGTGGGTTTTTTGAGATGGTATGACTTGGATGTTTTTAATCGACTGAATTATTAATTCTTAGAAGTTTTTGGATCAGGTTGTTTTATTGAAAAGGTTTTGAAGGATTTTAAATTACTTTATTCTACTACTATTACTACTATTATACTATTCGTTTGGATTGTTTAAATGAAAACTCTTTTGCATTCCACAGAGCACTAGTCTAGCGCCAAACTTATCATGTTTATTCCATAGAATTTTATTGTTGACTACAGTTGACTAATTTTGATGAGGTTCTCAAAGTTTTCAAGATTTGATGCATTAAACTTGAGTTAAGATATTTTTAAATATTTGGATTTTGTTGTTCAATTCAGTCTGCATTATCTTGTTCAAAATAAGCAGTTTGACATATTTGAATTGTCTGCAACATAAGTTTGAATCATCAGATCTGTCAAAATAATTTCATTAGACAACGAGTTTCCAAAACACATTTGATCAGCTTCTCTTTATGGGTTCTTACTTCCTTGCTTACTGTAACCATGTTCCTATGTGGAGCTTAGGTTACAACAAAAAGCTTTCCATCTGACTCTGTTGCTGGCTCTGTCACCTAGTTTGTACAACTTCTCTGTTCGTACATTAAGCTGAAAATCTTTATTCACTGTTCAGTCAAGTAGTAGTCAAGTAGCTTACTTCTTTATGAGTTCACAGATATGCAAGCTTTTTGCGGATCATGAAAAGAATTATCAAAGCTAAAAGAACTTCCAACATGATTCAAATGTGGTTAGTCAAATGCGCTTAATTCATCCATTCTAACCATCAAAATCTCCCAAACTTTCACAAATTCTTTTCTCGGTAACTAGTTAACTAGGGTATAGGCAGGATAAACATAATTATCTGATCATTTAAAAGGTTTTATTCAAAAATAAATTTACAAGCATGTTGCTTCCCGCACTAGTCAACAGTTAAGTCAGAAAAAAAGAACTATCAAATGTAAAAAGATAAAGTGTGAAGAATCCCAAATAAATTCTTTCTAATAAAAAATAAAGCAACGTTGCCAATTTCTCATAATTCATTTCCATAAATAAATTGCATAAATTTTTATGCTCACGAGAGGAAATTTTTTACTTTATGATTTTTGAAACAAAAGCTAGTGGATTATTTACCTATTGAAACGAGCAAAAAAAAAATGTAATTTAGTTTATCGACGACGACGACGAAAAAAAAATACAGAACAATTTAATGCTTGAAGTTGATTCATTTAAAAAAAAGCACTGCTGAGTGTGGTCAGTCAATGGCCGTCATTGTAAAACTGAAAATAAAGAAGAGAGAGAAAATGTATGAAAATAACGATAATCGCAAATTAATGAACAACGGAAATGATGTCATGAAAATTGAATGGAATGTTTTTTTCGAGTATATATATTTCGAGCACCGCAATGTACCATTGTTGGAAATTCTTGTATAACTGTGTGGGTACTAGGTATGATGATTTTTTTTTCATTTTTATCGTAAATTATGTAAATTTTTGTCATTCTTTATTTCAATTGAAATATTTTTTTTTTGCTGGTACACATACTGGTATAGATAGACATATTCAAATTAGTTGAAACTTATAGTTATTGGGATGATTAATGATATTTAGATAGAAGTAAGTGAAAAATTAAAAGCATATGTAAGGAAAAAGTTGTATGAATCATTTGAAAGAAATTTGAATAATTTTTATAAATTAAATAAAAGTTTCAGAACCAATTGACGCATGGGAGATGAGAGTTTAGAATACAGTAGCTAAGATCTTGACAAATTTTCATTTATTTCTGATGATTATTGGTTATATTGGTAGAAGCTCTCCTGGTTGACCTAAAGCTACATTCAAATTGCTTCCTAATTCTCCTGTAAGTCCTTTTTTGTTCTGCTTATTATAACTCTTTGTAGTTTTTGATTTTTTGCCTGCCTTTCTAAGTACATCCAATTCCAATTTATCTTCAACTTCTTTTATTAGCTTCTTTTCTTGAAGATCAGTTTTTGGCAGTATTTTATCCAAAGAAATCAAACTTGGCAACTTAGTTGATGATTTTGGTGGATTAGTCACTGTTGGTTTGTATGTTGGAGAGCCTAGATGTACAATTTGAACATTGCTGATTATTAAGAATATTCCAAGACTTAGTAACTTGAACATTTTTGTTTTTTGATTAACTTAGAACTTGTCTGATTTAAAAGTCAGAAAGTAACTGATGAACTGCTTGAATTACAGTTCTTTATTTATAGCTGAGATATAATTTTTGTGTATTAGCTTGATTTATTCCAGAAAATTGAAATTGGTCAATACACGATGAGCTATCGTTTTACAAAAGACTCCAATTTTGACATTTTGCAATCAGATTGTGCCGACAAGTTAAGTCAAAGTTGTCATATTATGAATAACTTTTGACAATTATTTGTGAATCAGGAATAGTCTTCAATGCTATCAACGCCTCTGACAGGATGACAAAAGAGTTACTTAAACTATAAATGTCAAACTTAAGATTACAAAAAAAAAATCAAATTTGGCAGCACGACTAAAGGAAATTTCGGATTGAAATGATTACACATCCACAATTTTAATGAAATTTGTTGAATTGAACATTTTTTAAGAATCACGAAAATATTCAGTTCTGTTTAATTTCATTTACCTTACACGTGTATGTATCATATTCGTATTTATTCAGCTTGATTTGTGGCAATAGGTTTGTTTACTAGTTCTTTAGAATTTCTACAAATAGATATCCACGAGAAATAATATAAAGTTGGCAGTTAAGGCCTCTGTTGATAAATGCAGCTTTAATCGAACTCAAATTTTTCTATCTGAAGAATCAATAGAATTCTAGCCCATACCTGGATCCAAATCCGCCCTTCAAAAACAAATATCGCAACTGCACACACGCCGATATTAGAGTACACGAAAAGCCACATTGTATGAGATAAATTGAGCTTTGGTGCTATCAATTTTGCAAATATGCGGATGCTTAAATTGAAACAATTTTTTTGAATGAGACAACAAATCATATTTAAACGTCTGCTATAAATATTTTAGTGCATTTTGATCATCTGTTCTTCTCATATTTTTATTATTAGAGCAAATTTCTAGAATGTGTTTTTTATTCGACTGAATATTTTGATACTAAGTAGCTACTTATACGAAAAACTGTGTGGTCTTCATTGAAAAATGTCTGCGAGTATAATAAAAATAAAGTATGAATATTAATTCTATTTTCCAGGTACTGAATCCACATGAGAATTTCCATTATCGATGTTAAAAAGCATGTAACGAGCAATAGATGTGGGCGATAGTGTAATTTTGCAACCATAAACTTTCAACATTTTTTTTTTTTGATATAGTTTTTCTATATCACACGTAAACTACAGTAATTTGTGGGATGTTAAGCTGAAAAATATAAATATTTTTTATTGGAAGTGCGTGGTATCATACATGTCATGTATTATATGATTCATGTTACATGTTTGCAGTCATATCATTTCCCCATAGGCAAAATTCATAAAATATGAACAGTTTTCTTTTAAAATATGAAGCGAAAAGTCTAAATGGCACTTGCTTGAAGTGTAATGTCATTTTCATTCATTCATTCATTCATTCATCCATCCATTAATTCATTAACTTCTCCACAACTAAGTCAGGCATTTAACTACAATTTTATCAAGTTGGGAGTTATACTAACTTTGTTTATAGATGTATCTTATTTCAATCTGTTGTTTTATTATTATTTTCTGTTCCAGAATAATTGACTGTCGTCGCTGGGTTGCGATAAGAATGTGAATGTTCAAGTGCCGCATTAAAATTTTCTTTCTTTTTTAAAAAGGATTAAAAATATGAAAATTTCTTGGAATTCTTTGCACCTTGCCATAATTAAACGATAAAATAGGCGATTAAAATAACTTATGTATTTTTTAGGATTGTTTTAAGTAAAGTTGAAGAAGTTTTGAGTATTTCTAGCATTAAAATTCAAGTTCCTTACTTTAAATATCAAATAGAGTCATTCAAATGAGAAATAAGTTGTTTATTCTTACTAGAATCGAACCTACATTTTGAATTCTTATCAAAGACAGTTACAGATATCTGCTGCCTGACCATTAAAGCCTTACTTTCACATTACTTAAGAATTTAGAGATTCCACTTCAAAAATGGTTGTTTTGGTCCTTAAATTTAATCAGCTGTGTCAAAATGGTTGAATAATACCCGAATGACACAAGTCGGTTAATAAAATTGAAATCGGGTGTCTAGTCAGCATGACTCTGGCATGGTGCTGGCTTCGATTAAAATCCAGGGCCATGCCAGATTCACACTAGCTTGGTGCAGGATTTCTGATCGATTAACCGACTTGTGCCATTCGAGGATAGAATATCAAAAAGTACTCTATATTTAACTTTAGTATTCACATAGTTTTAAAGATGCAGCACACACGAATGATCTTTTAAGACATTCCAATTTTTACAGTCTCCAATCCTTGTTCAATGTGCAATAAAAGCCACAAGTAATTCCGCCTAATGTCTTACAAAAGTAAAAATCAGCTCAAACCTCCTATCAACTGCAATAAATAAACTCAAACAAGCACAAGAAAAAAAAAACCTCTAAACGCCACAAAGGCGTGCTAAATGTATTCCTGTGGCGATTGTTCGTTCAGGAGTATTTTAACTTCAGTTTGTTTAGGAATTTCAATCAATTTAAATACTTTATGATGCTATTACTGTGTATCAATTTCTCCAATAGAAATGAAAAATGCGCCAAAGTAATTAATTAACGACTACGTTCATTCATTATTTCTCAAATGTTTTTTTTTCTCACTTCCATCTATTTTCAATAGATCGATCAATTAAGAATGCACGAGAAGCTTTATATCTTCACATTATTTATTCGAAGGTGTCGATTGCAAATTAATTTTTTTTTCTCTTTCTTCCCTCGATTGCCGTCACTCGACTGCTCTGTTGCTCATTGTAAGGTGCGGAGTTAAAAAGAAATCTTTAAAATTCCTACACACAAAAAAAAATAAGAAATGAAATGAAAATGTAATAAAAAGTGTAGCATGATAACCAAAAAATTTCTTCATTAACGGTTCTTGCCTTCGGACTTTTCATATAATATAAAATTTATAGAGTTACATGGATGCTGGGTATATGTGTAGACTCATGAAAAATTATATTCATGCTACGCATGACCCCCGTTGATTTGATTTTATAACTTGTTGGCTTGCTACTAGAAAAAAAAACGACAGGCTTAATTTATAGATTATGTGTGCGGAACGCATTAATTTTGGTTTCTTAAAAGTCATTATAGAGTCATCTCAACTTACCACATCATTTATGTAAGCTGCCTACACTGAGATACATTTCTATTATTATCCATTTCACTAAGATCCAAAAAAAGAACGTTTGATATAGCTGGATTGTGAGGATCAAGATCATTAACAGTTTCTTTGATCACTTCACAGTCATTTACCTTGCTTTACAGTCTCTTCGAATCATAATAATCAATCTTTAGCACCTGATATTAAATTGTTTCTTCAGCAAAGCTTTCATTTCTCTTTTGTCTGTGTCTTCTCTCCATCTCTCTTACTTTTATTCATGAAAGAGAAAATGCGATCAATGTCGAAAGCGATCGAATAAAAAAAATCATTGGCGCCAGAGATTTGATAGAAACTTACAATCAATTTTGCTTTTTTTACATAAATTATTTATCATTCTTAAGCGTACATTGGGGTCGTTTTGCCTTTGATGTCCCACATTCGACCTCTATCTCAATAGTGTCCAGCTATTAATAATGAATAAGTGGATAAAAATAAGCATCAAAAGGGTTTGAGGTCAATGTAAAGCGAGATTTGAAGCCAAATGGCAAGGTACTGTTAAGAAGTCAGCCAAATGTTAGATCCAATGCCATATTCTTAATGTTTTATTCACCAAGTATCATATAAATTAACAAACTGTGTGCTACCAAGTACTACTAGGGCTGGATAGAGGTGCGATCAAGTACCATGGCATTGAACAATACAAAATAGAAGAACTGAATAAAGAAAAGCTCTTTTCAAAGTAGGAGCATGTTACTGGAGCTACTTGGAGTGCTATAGTCACGTCTAACTTAGTTTGCATCCCGGATTCCCTTAGATACTAGCTCCTGAGCCTAAAAATCCTTAAAAAGACTAGATTTGATGCTATCAGAATCTCCATATTTAGGATTTGATGACAATGGGATGCATTCTCCAAATTGCTAAGGAGACGTCACTTGATTATTCCTCCATACGCAAGTAATTTGAATGAACGTGTTTCACTTGTTTTACTATCAAATTTAAAGTCTGTCCCTAAACTTTCATTGTGTTTTCTCTTTCCAAACTCGACCTGCTGTTTACTTTTAATTATTCAATACTTAGTCATTAAATTGAAATTAAAGACACTGAGATATTCTTCCTCAAGTATGGCTTTCATTTGCACTTTCATTTACATAATGCATTGGTTGGTGATGATTATTAGGGTTCGACAGCTTGACTTGATTATACACATCTCGTTGTGTATAATTTTTGAGCATCTTTTGAGACAAGATCAACAGCGATCGATGATTAAAAATACAAAAAAAATACATGACGATCTGATACTTTCGACATCTTATATATCCATATAAATAAAATCAAATTATGGACGATATAAATTGTTATTGGAGTTTTTAAGGTTGTACAAAATGTGAACATGACAATTTCAGACTCTTTTTTTAAGTCACATTTAAAATCAAATGATGAAGTTTTTCTCAATGAATTCCGTTGAATTGGCGAGCACGTTGCGTAAATTTGTGCTGATAAAGGAAATCTTAATAACTTCAATTTATTTAAAGCTTGAAGGTTTGATGTGGATTTTAATACTTTGCGTTTTTTTTATTATCTTGCAAATTGAATATAAGATTTTTGGTGCTGTTGTTATTGACGACAAAAAACATTCCAGACTTAGCTTTATAGTTGTTCTTGTGGAATTTATGGAATTTGTTTAGACTAATCGTATCAAGAAGGCTTTTATCAATAAATTTGGATGTTTAAAGATTCAGTTTAATTTGGAACTTCAATTTCGGATCAAATTGTCATTAAAACATTGAAAGTTGTTTATCGACTCTTCCTTTAGCTATATTAAAAGGAAGATCAGTCTACT